AACCACCCGCTCTGCGTTGCTGCGGTCCTCGGCGGGACTGTGGTTTCCTGGTGCGTGGCTGCTCACGCCTCCAACAAGCAGGGTACAAGGAGCATCAAAGCCACACCGGGGCCTCCAGGCACTAAATGAAACCAGGGAAGCTGGGAAGAGGGAAGCGAGCGCTGCGAGAGCCTGGGGATTGCCCAAGACAAATCTGCGTGCGCTGGCAGGGAGCAGGATCTGAACGGGTGGTGTGAAGCACGCACAGCACCATAGCGCTCACTTATCACAAGAGCTCGGAAGCATGGTATTTGATCGTTTTAACTCCTCGTGGCTCAGGGGTTAGCTGAAGTGCGCAGCACAGCTTTCTTGCTAAAGGAGCTGATTACAAGGGGACGCCTTTCTCCATCCTGGATGCTTCTTCACATGTTCCTTCTTTGTCCTTGGAACAGCAGGTGATACCCACGGTCTGTCACTGGCAGGTAAAATTTGGCTGCAAGGACAGAAGAATTGCAATGGACGTGAAGCTACAGGGTGGAAACAACAAAAGGGGGCATGGGAGTGAATTACAGTGACAGAAAAGCCACAAATTGGGAAGAATGAACATGAAATGAGCAAATCAGCCAAATTTCAAGGGAGAGGCAGGAAGCCGAGTTCATCTCCCTGCAATTGCCAGCCCCAAGCAAGAAACATTTGGACCAGCTACTGCACACTGGCCTGGGTACCAAAACCCAGAAAACACCCCCACAAACAACTGCTCGAAAGCCACAAACTACCAGAGGAGAAGAGCAGGACCTTGGATCTGCAGTAACTGCCAATTTAAGAAATGCAAACACTGATTACAGACCATGTCTCTTGCCAGAGAGAAAGGGAATGCTCCCTAACCAAATCATCCCTTCTAGCTGGATGAGGAAGAGGGTGAGGGTCAGATCTCTTCCCAGTGCCAAAGCTGGCAATCAACCTAATCACCAAACAAGCAGCCATGCTCTGTGCTCCAGCACTCTCCATTCATCATCCCATTTTCTCGCTGCAGTCAGTCTCTGATGCCTCATGAGATTAATAAACAAACAACTAAATCAATACAGTCATCTCGATCCCTGCAGGCCACAGGCTGTGAACAACATAACTTCTGCCTGAGAGAAGTATCAGTGTATAAGAGAGGTTCTCAAGAGAGAATTCCAGCACCCCAGCTCTCAGCTGTCCAAAAATTAACACACACACAGGGGGGAACAATTCAGCAGTGCCCTGGGAAACAGAGATACTGAGCAGGTCCTCCCCTCCTACAGCTTCCTGATTTTCTCCTTGAGCATCATCACATCCAGCCTTGGCCCTTCCTGAAACCCAGGCACTGAAGGAATATTTTCACATTCTTCATGACAGGCTGGGAAATAATCTTATTCACTTGATGAGGGGGCTGCTCTGCAAACATCAGTCCTCCTCAAAGATGGCCTGGAGCTCTTCAGTTCCTGTCAGTAGGGAACCTCACCAGATTCTCTCTGAAGCAGAGAAAAGCATGTGTATGAGAATGAAAGTAAATTAGGTCTGAACAAGATTAACAGGGATTTAATTGAACTATGTGAACTGGAACTCCAGTCACGAGCTACTTATTAGCCTGTCTCAAGGGACTGTGCTGCTTGCACTGGAGGAGCACAAGGATGCATTGTGAGCTAGGGACAGCTCAAGGGGGTGGCGATGGCCACAGCTCTTGAGATCGAGATGAGCGTGGCCAGAGATGCAGAGCTGCTTGGACGCCATCAAAAACAAAGCAAGGAATTCTCAACTCGCGGCCACGTTTCTTCAGAGCTGAGGCTTCACCTGTTGAGGGAAAGGAACTTCATAACACACATTAGCAGAGGAAACCCAGCTCTCGGCCCAGCTCCTGGGCTTGGGGTGGCAGATCAAGGTGCCATCACCAAGGTGCTGCCTACTGGCTGGCAGACCTTTGAAAACTTCCCCTTCAATAAAAGTGACTTAATGAGGTCTTCAGCTCCCTTTGGGATGTTAATTACAAAACAGCCTGGAGAAAAGTGCTTGGGAATTAAAGGAGTCACCACACTAGTCCTTCTCTCGTTTGTTTTCTGGTCAGGGAACCAAGAGACGCTTGCTAGAGCCTGGCTACCATGCTGGTCTTACGGCAGCCAAAAAGAGCCACCAGACAGCTCCACGTTCCAGCCATGTAAACCTGAGCTACAATCACACACTGAGGGGCTACTGAAAATCCCTGTTATCAGGCTACTGAATCCCCACCTAATCCCCTGCTCGTATTATTAACAAATAATGCCTTTATTATTGCTGCCTTCATGGGGGGGGGTTCTTGGAGCCAAAATCTCTCGTGAGCAGCAAATTAATTTAGTCATCGCACCATTTCCTCCTGCCTTCTAGGAAAGTAAAGCTGTACTGGAGATAGTTCACTACTTCCAAATCAAACACAGATACACACATGCCTGACAGTATTAACTCACCAATTTCTCACAGATTAAAGGATCTGAAAGGCTTTCCCTTAATGGATCATTTTTATGAATAGGTTATTTATGTCTCTGCATTTCTATAGTCTGAGAGTTCTGGCAGCTTTCAATGAATGTACCGAAAGAGGCAGTACAACTTTAAAAGGAGATTTCTTTTTGAACAATGGAATTCTGATTGTATTTATTACACATTTCAGGAGAATCTAAAATACATGGGATATTGGTAATCTCTAAAAACATACTCTAAGTTCAGCTAATGAGAGCATTCAAATAGATATAAAGCTGTTAGGAACAGACTCGGAAATTTATCTCAATACCTCTTCACCCCAACAAAAACACCCCCCAATATCCATGATTTCTATTTAGCAATGAGTAAGCCAGCCTGCAAATAGCTAGATGTAGATGCTGATGTAGTAGCCTGCTATTTCAGATAACAACCACACAGTGCTCATCACTAACTGGTTCTTAGCTGTGGAAGCACTTCTATATTTCGGGTAATGCACGTGCTACTCTTTCAATAGTTGCAATTCCGTTAAAGCATTAAACCCCGCCTTTAGGTAACCTGCAGAAAGCCAGAGTTGTTAGATAAAACCACCACCATCTTCATTTATGAAAATGGAAGAAGTGATCTGCAGTACCTATCCAGGGCAGCAGCAATGCTGTTCTTTCCCCTGCAGATCACAGACAGAAACACAGGTCCTAGTGGAAACTCATAGCACAATATTGTTCTTTGTTATTTGCGTGGGAAATTTTTGTAATGTTTCTTTGTACTGAGAACTCAAAGCAACTTTAGAGTGCTTGTGTCTCCCATGCTTTGTTCTGTCCTCCTAGTATTCCCTTTATGTAGCTCAAAAAAAAAAAAAAAAAAAGAAGAAGAAAAAGAAAATGCTGAATTTAAAGCAGAACTCTAAACTGGATTTTAGTGCGACTTGGTGTCAGCATTCTGGTGAAGAGAAGCAGAGAGCCTGGAGCAGGGGAGCAGTGAGAGGTTACAATCAAACTGGTACTGGGATCCATCCATCTCACCCACCAAAAGCAAGAGCGAGCAGAGAACGTGGCCATTCTCAACACTGATGGTTCCTGTAAACGTGCTGTTCATCTCTTGTTAAGAGAACACGCAGCACAACACTGCTGCCGTGTCCGGGCTCACGAGGCATTCGTGAATTGAAGATGGGAGTCTATGTATGCAAAAAAGATTGCAGACTTGCAGCCCTGCCAGAGAACCCTTTCCTTCAAAGCCACTCTGAACCCTGGGTGTGCCTAAAAGAGCAGGTTCTCCTCCCATTGACTCATTCGTGATCAAACAAACCAAGATGTGAGCTGGCATCAGGAAGCTTGAGCTGCCCTACAGAGCGACTATGGCTACGTCACCACCTATCTCTTTCCAGTCCTGTCTAGCCATATTTAAATCTAATGCTACATTGTCCCTGGGCCTGGAGAGCCAGTGCCTGAAGGAACATAGCGTATATGTCTCTTGCCATATAGTCAGGCTACACAGACAGCTTGCCACCCCTTGGATCTTAAAACATCACATCTCCTCAGGCTGAGATCATATTTAACTTCAGGAAGAATTCAGCAAGGGGAGATGCAGCAGAGTATTGCAGGTAAGGCTGGGAGGGAGTTTGCAAATGCAACAAACCCCAGCTGTGTTGACACGGAGCACGTGGTGAGGACTCGGCTAGCAAACAGGAGGTTTTATCAACAGCACAGCCAGGCAAAGCTGTTCCATACCTGACCAATGCAGCACTCTGAAACTCACGCCTCAGAGCAGCTTTTCTCCAAGGTGCAGTACGTGGTCCTCCCAAGCTTCCAAGAACACCCCATTAGCACAAGCATTACATTCTGCACCTTCCAGAATCAAACTGGTCCCCGATCCTTACAGTCCCCACTGCAGCCTCAATTCCCTGAAATGTACCTGCTTTCAAGGGTGGGAAGAGAAAGGAAAAGCGCATGGGTGGGGAATAAGAAAGAGGTAGCGACGCTGGGGAAATGAAAGCTTTCATCTACAGCAGTCTGGAATCTGATGAGTTATTACCTAAAGAATTAAAGAATATGACAAAGACATTATTATTAAGCCATAAAATGCAGCTATGTATTTCAGACTAGATGACAACAGAGATGAATACAAAGCTGTGTAGTGTGGTATCCTTGATCCATTTGATCCCTCTGCCTTCAAAAAAATACAACACAAACCGGTATCCAAAGTAGCAAACCATGCTCCACCTTCCACAGGGACTTTACTACAAATCCCAGCCAGCATGGAGGAGCCAGGACAGCAGCCCTCTATACCCATCAGAAATGACAGAAGTCACTTTAATGGTCAATTTAATCACGTCAAATGAAGTCCTGGATATGTGAAGTCCTCTTTACTTGTATGGAATCTACGGCAGAACCCTGACCCTTCACTCTTCTAAGTTCCTTCTCCCTTGTCCCCGAAAGGTAAAGCATGGCAATGCCAGAAAACCATTTAATAGAGTTAGTTGCCTTTGATGTCATCTCTGAAGAGGCATGATTGTAGATGATTATTTTGTCTTTTGAGGCTCATTGGTCATGGCTTTATCGTTTCTTTTTGGTTTCCTTCTTGGGTTTCTTGCTTATCTGTGGAGCAGTTGCCTTTGGCTTCTTCACTGTCTCTGAATTCTTAGGCTCAAAACTGTCCGAGTCCTACAAGAATCAATTAAGAAACAGTCAGTAACTTTTTTTTACAATTTGCTGACAGCTCACTTTGGGAATTTGAGTATAAGCCAAAGGAAGCAAGTGCTGGGTATCTCTGTTGGAACACATCTATATCAAACTGTGTCCACGTTTAATGAGACTTGAGCAGCACCATTTCTGCTTCTTCCGCCTGTGCTTTTCGATGAGCCTGAGTTTATGCACAGAAACAGGTTGTTACCAGAGAAGCCGTTAAAGGCTTAAGTGTCTAAGACAGGCTTTGGAGAAGAAAAACAAAACCAACTTTAAAGGCAAGAAGAAAAACAACGCTAAATGAAAACTACTCAAATTAGGAAAAGGAGAAGATACCATATAATCACCAGTGTGCGTGGAAACATTCAGCAGGTATTTCTGCCAAATGTTAATCATTATCATGTGCAAGACAAAAAATATTCCCCAAAACAGCAGTAAGGATGTAAAGTTCAGAGCCTCTAAACCAAGTCCCAAAATCCAGGGAAGGAATTGCAAGCAAAGCTTTCTTCACCTGGACTAACAAGGAATGCTTAGGTATCTTACTTGTTTCCTTCAGGGGAGATGGCAGATAATATTTCAGCCATGCGAAATAAAGTCTAGTTATCTTGTAAAAACACAAGGGAACAGCGCCAGTCTCATCTGAGAAAGCACACACATGCAGATTGCCTCCTTTCATTAAATGCATTTGAGTATAAATATTGCTTTAGCATCTTGGTTTCTATCAGTGAGAGCGTGCCAACTGGAAAAGGACACACAAAAAATGGCTGAGCAAGACGTGCTAGTTTCAAGCTTCCAAGACAGCGCTCCAGATAATGGAGGGGGAGGCAAGCATCTGACAGAATCCTTTTAATCAAGGAGCTTGGTTCAAACGTCTCTCAAGTTACTGGGCTATTACAGTTCACATCTGTGTGGCTTTCCAAGGAAGGAGACTTGGCTGGCTTTCCAAAGGCTGTAATCGGTGCATGGGGAGCTGGCAGGCTCTGGAGAAATGGAGCAACATGCAGTTATTACTCAGGGATGCAGTGTGCTGCCGCCATAAAGGGAACACTGCTGCCTTCTAATGTTCAAACCAAGGTAGACTTCAAAGCCTGAAGCCTCCAAGACAGAGAAGCTCCTCAATATCCTACCAAGACTCAAGTATCATTCCCAAGATCTGGAGGGGTAGCCTCTGGTGTTTACGGTCTTGTAAATTAGTCATATGGACAGTAAATCAAGAGGACTGTACACATGTGGAGAAAATAAAAAGTAGCGCATGCAAACATCAAAGCTTACTTGCAAACTTAAACAGTAACAGGTCCTTGAGCTTTATCGTTTTAAGAGGGGGCCTGGTCTTCAGTTTCTCACTTCAAATTAAAGCTCTCACTCTTTTCAGCTTTCAAGAATCAGGCTACTCAGTATTTCTCAAAAATTTATCAGGGGAAACCGCAGACTCTGACAGAGAGGGGCTGGTGGCTGCAGAATAACGGTGCAAGACTTGCAATGCCACTGCATCATGACTGGCAGCCGCCTGCTTCATCTCCCTGCTGGGAGCTGCAGCTCCTGTGGCAGGACTAGCAGGAGGGAGCACGCACCCATGACGGGGCCACGTCACTAATCCAGTACATCAACGCAACTTCACATCATACCAACAGTTAAAGGTGAAAGAGTTGGGTCATGAACTGTATCCTTCACACTGTACCTCACCCTCAGGCATTCCCTTCCCCAGACAGGCTGAAAATTTCCATGCTTCCTCTGCACAAGAGGGAACAAACATGGCAATAAAGGTAGCCTGAAAACAAAATTTCCCATGCTGAGTTGTTCCTGAAAATATACCGTAGACATTTAGACAAAATCTGTATCAAACCACCAAACCTGCAGCCTGATCACCAACGCTGAAATATCCGTCCCCAACACCACAGACGTTACCAAGCACGTGGAGCTCTTTTTTCAGAAAAGCCAGGTAGATGCAGGTCACCCCACTGTGGATGTTGTCTAGAGGAATCGGACTCCTGTAACTCCGCTCAACCTTTCACTTTAACCTTCTCCTGTACTAACTGCCTCAAAGGATCCTCCACTTGCCGGCCAGGATTGTCAGTACTGAAAATTGCCTTTCTCACGTTAGAACATACTAGAAATTTCACCTGTATCTTGTCTCCAAAAATCGCCAAACAAATTAGAGCCTGAGTCATTTCCTGAAAGGCAATGCCTGCAAAGGTGACATCCTGCCTGGCAATTAACAAAGCAAATCAGCAGCAGGATGACAACATGGGGTCAGGAACAGCGTGTACATTTAGCACACCTTGTCAGTGCTTCAGGTCACTTTTTTTCACTGATATTCAGAGAGACCCTGGCTCAGGTATTTGTTCCTGACTTGCTAATCTGGGGGTAAATCACAAGACAAAAGCTGGAGGTAGGAAAGCTAGAAGGAAGGAAGGAAAGAAAATGAACAATGAAACTGTCATCAATCCCAGGGGCAGACCACTGTGTCTCCAGTAGCTACTCAAAGTTCCCTCCCATCCTATTTTCTCTGAGTCTGCCCACCTATATCAACACTAAAGAGCACTGCTTACTGTCTTATGGGATTTGGAAACTGGCAGGATTATGGCTAGCACACAGATAAGCTGGAAAATGGCTCCAAAGAAGAGTCCGTAGCGTAGCACATTCTCCATGAATGTGGGCTCAGGGATTTCAGGTGGGGAGAAATCCAACTCAGCAGCCATCGTGAGTACACCCTTCTCCTCTAATGCTCTCAAGAAGACTGGTTACTGCAAGGGGAAGGAAAAAAAAAAAAGACAATTATTTGCATCATGCTTTCTCTTCTTCACTTTCCAGTATCAAAAAATGACAGACTATCTCATGCAGGTTTTTTGAAGACACCCTTGATCTACAAACCCAATAACAAAAAGGGAAATGAAACTTGCATTTTATTGGGATGCTTGGCTTTTACCACCTGCCTAAGAAAATAGTCCTCCAATGCTAGTATTAGTCCATTTGCAGGTGAGGGCAAGACAAACAAAATATGAACAATATTCATGAAACAATAAGGGAAAAGCTTAATAAGCAAGAAATACGCTTCTCCCTGAAGTTGATCACGCATGCAAGGTGACTATTATTCATTTTTATTTACATTGTATATGTGGTCCCAGCCTTGTTGGTTTAGATGGTGTACAGAACCAACTACTACTTAAATAAACCACACAGAAGGTAGATCTGTTGAAGACAGAGGAATGAGTCGTGTTTAAAGTTAAGCATGGCTTTAGTGGCTGGTTACACTAAGCCCAATATACCTGCAACAGTCACACAGGTAGTTTGTGGCAGAGTTCAATATTGATCTCCTGGGTCCCAAGCTAGTTTCTCAGTCATGAGTCCATCCTTTCTTCCTTCCTTTATCTTTTGCTAATGGAGTTGTCAATTCATTCTGTGAATGACTAATGGCTTTCCACAACAACGGAGAACCCTCCTGCCACAGTTGCCAGAGCACACCACAGGAAGTCCCAAAAGGGAAATTCAATTAGTCTGAGATGCCATCAGAACTCAGCAGTCATTACTGTCTTACTCAGTTTTCCTGGCCTGTCTGATCCTGGTGTGGACTTATTGAATCAGCACTACTTACTGATATTTACAATTCTCTATATTACTAAAGCTTGGGTGTGAGATTTTGCTGCATACATGTTTCAGTTGAATGTAGTAATTTGCCTGCTAGAAATTATCTCCAAAGCAGGCTCTGTATTTCTCAGGCTAAGAGGAGATCTCTAAAATCTGCAGATGTGATCCAGTTCAGAAAGACTTAAGTGAAGTTATAGTTGATAAATTTGAGAATCAGTCAACAACTCAATGCCATTGCATAGGAGGCAAATGTCATTTGGGGGCATACAAAAAGGAATGGTATATAAATTACAAGAAATAATTATTTTGGTTTAATTCAGCTAAAGTACAGGATCTTGTTTTGAATTTTAAAAGACAGGAAAAAATTCCCAACTGCACAAACTGCCAGTGACTGGAATGCAGAGACTGTGAAATCCCTGGTGCTGGTGATTCAGAAGAACAGATCAGATAAGCATTCGCCTGGGATGGGGTGTGAGTATATATAAACCTGCCTTTGAATCAGGTGATAAGAATAGGTGACCTCTCGCGGTCCCTTCCAGGTCTGTACTTCAGTGAAAGAAAATTTTTCACATTCTGATTAAAATTCCATAAGTGAGGGCTGCATGAGACATGTACATGAAGCCAGAATACACGCTGGGCCACCCAGGCTTAGCAAGACCCAATGCAGACCCGAAGGCTGCACCGTACAACGGTGTGAACAAAGCACGCATAAATGTGGCTCATCCTTAACTGCTTTTAACTTTTAAAACACCCTCTCCCCCAATCCACTAAGGTGGCGGTTCCTAAGCAAGAAACAAAATCATGGGAAACTTCACCCTTGAGTTGCATTTTATCGCAACTTTATTTTTGGGATATCTTTTGAAAACATTGTTTTTGCCCACCCCCTTCCTCAAACAGAGCAGGAAGGGATGTTGCTTCATTCCTCACCCAGCGTTTTCTCAGGACAAACTCCTACTGATAATTCTGATTCACACACCTGAAACACAACAGACAAAAATAAACCAGGAAAGGAAACCAATACAATAAAAACAAAAAATCCCTGTCCTCATCTTCCGCAAATCTCCCCTCCTTTCCCCTTTTCTATTTCACCTCCCTTGAGGGTATTAGTAATTTTCTAACAAATTCCAGGTGACATGACCAGCATCAAGATCTCTCGCACAGGCTGGCAGCAGCCACCACTACCATTTTAACCGCTGGCCCATGAAATATGCTCAGAGAAGACCTGACATCATGCTCCAACTAGTCATAGTAGAGAGTCCTTGCTTGCACAGTAGCCACAGCAGGGAACCCGCATTTGGACCATTAATTTTCCTGCTATCAGTGGAGCTGAACTAATATTAGCAAAATTCTTCCCAGTTTTAAAAAACTCCTGTGGTTAACACAATGCCCAAACCTGCACCAGCATGGAGGCTAAACCTTACACAAAGGAGCAGGCCAAAGCCGAACACTGGGGAAGCAGGATTCAGCATCAGGCACGCCGCCTTCTGCACCGAACACAAAACTTGCAAAATGAGTCTTCTCACCGAGAGCAATACCTCCTTACACTTTGCCTGGCAGCTAATCCAGCAGGTCCCTGGATGATAATGGAGTCTTCCTCCCTGTTCCTGAGAAGCTAACAGTTTCACCACCTCTTCCTTGGCTAACATCTCTTCTTCTCCACAGGTATCAACCACCTGTTTCCTCAGACCGCCTCACCTATTAATATGGCTACACTTAAAGTAATTGCTCTTAAATTGCATTTAAAGATCAGTACTCCTATTTCAGACCCTGCAGATTATACTCATTCGGTCTAACAGCAGCTACCGTGTCCCCACAAGCCTGGCCACCTCATTGGAACATAACAGGTCACAAACAATTTGCACTGCACTACAAAAATTGGTCTTGACTATCTGTTTAAAAACATTCAGTCCTGACTCTATTAGGGTTTTACAGCAAGCTAGCTAAACCCCAGAAAAGGACTTGGTCCTGTTGCCAAGCCAGAGCTGCACCACAGAACGAGCAAGGGGCTACTCAGGGCTGCAGGCTCATGGTTTTGCTCAGTGACACCACTCGAAGACGATGCGGCTGTCCCCCTGGGTGCAAGATCAGAGCCTATGATAAATAACCATGTATTTTCAGGATCAGGACCATAAACCGGCCATCTCAATAGAGCTAGGCCAAATTCAAAACTTTCTTTTTGTTGTCCTACATCTCCCAGCTGGCATCTTCAAGAACTGGCACTATATAAATAATTAGTGTAGGACAAAGCCACAGGAGCACTTCAGGTAATATATATATTAGCTTCCTCTTGGGATGGAAATAAAGAGCAACAGTATTGGTGCAAAACCTGAAAGCTTCTGTCAAAGGATGAGGCAAAAGAAGCTCACGCTGGATTTCTGAAATGATTTGGTCGGTGTTGGGATGGAGACTGGCCAGTTCATATTGGCTTCAGGGAGATTTGCGTGTGCTTAGCACCGCTGAAAACAAGACCATTAGCGAGGCCAAGGAGCCTGTCTGCAGCCTTACGGGCCCCAGGCCAGGCAGCCGGGTT